AAACGAGTCAATGGATAAATTAAATAAGTAATGAGAAAATTTTACCAGGGTTTGTGTGGCTTTTCTTTCAAAAGGCATAGAACAGGAACAATCTTAATTTCTATAAATAATGATGAACGAAACAATTTCTGGAACAAAACGAGCCAATGGATAAATTAAATAAGTAATGAGAAAATTATACCAGGGTTTGTGTGGCTTTTCTCTCAAAAGGCATAGAACAGGAACAATCTTAATTTCTATATATAATGATGAACGAAGCAATTTCTGGAACAAAACGAGTCAATGGATAAATTAAATAAGTAATGAGAAAATTTTACCAGGGTTTAAGTGGCTTTTCTTTCAAAAGGCATAGAACAGGAACAATCTTAATTTCTATAAATAATGATGAACGAAACAATTTCTGGAACAAAACGAGCCAATGGATAAATTAAATAAGTAATGAGAAAATTATACCAGGGTTTGTGGGGTTTTCTTTCAAAAGGTATAGAACAGGAACAATCTTAATTTCTATAAATAATGATGAACGAAACAATTTCTGAAACAAAACGAGTCAATGGATAAATTAAATAAGTAATGAGAAAATTTTACCAGGGTTTAAGTGGCTTTTCTTTCAAAAGGCATAGAACAGGAACAATCTTAATTTCTATAAATAATGATGAACGAAGCAATTTCTGGAACAAAACGAGTCAATGGATAAATTAAATAAGTAATGAGAAAATTATACCAGGGTTTGTGGGGTTTTCTTTCAAAAGGCATAGAACAGGAACAATCTTAATTTCTATAAATAATGATGAACGAAACAATTTCTGAAACAAAACGAGTCAATGGATAAATTAAATAAGTAATGAGAAAATTTTACCAGGGTTTGTGTGGCTTTTCTTTCAAAAGGCATAGAACAGGAACAATCTTAATTTCTATAAATAATGATGAACGAAGCAATTTCTGGAACAAAACGAGTCAATGGATAAATTAAATAAGTAATGAGAAAATTTTACCAGGGTTTGTGTGGCTTTTCTTTCAAAAGGCATAGAACAGGAACAATCTTAATTTCTATAAATAATGATGAACGAAACAATTTCTGGAACAAAACGAGCCAATGGATAAATTAAATAAGTAATGAGAAAATTATACCAGGGTTTGTGGGGTTTTCTTTCAAAAGGCATAGAACAGGAACAATCTTAATTTCTATAAATAATGATGAACGAAGCAATTTCTGGAACAAAACGAGTCAATGGATAAATTAAATAAGTAATGAGAAAATTATACCAGGGTTTGTGGGGTTTTCTTTCAAAAGGCATAGAACAGGAACAATCTTAATTTCTATAAATAATGATGAACGAAACAATTTCTGAAACAAAACGAGTCAATGGATAAATTAAATAAGTAATGAGAAAATTTTACCAGGGTTTGTGTGGCTTTTCTTTCAAAAGGCATAGAACAGGAACAATCTTAATTTCTATAAATAATGATGAACGAAACAATTTCTGGAACAAAACGAGCCAATGGATAAATTAAATAAGTAATGAGAAAATTTTACCAGGGTTTGTGTGGCTTTTCTCTCAAAAGGCATAGAACAGGAACAATCTTAATTTCTATAAATAATGATGAACGAAACAATTTCTGGAACAAAACGAGCCAATGGATAAATTAAATAAGTAATGAGAAAATTTTACCAGGGTTTGTGTGGCTTTTCTCTCAAAAGGCATAGAACAGGAACAATCTTAATTTCTATATATAATGATGAACGAAGCAATTTCTGGAACAAAACGAGTCAATGGATAAATTAAATAAGTAATGAGAAAATTATACCAGGGTTTGTGGGGTTTTCTTTCAAAAGGCATAGAACAGGAACAATCTTAATTTCTATAAATAATGATGAACGAAGCAATTTCTGGAACAAAACGAGTCAATGGATAAATTAAATAAGTAATGAGAAAATTATACCAGGGTTTGTGGGGTTTTCTTTCAAAAGGCATAGAACAGGAACAATCTTAATTTCTATAAATAATGATGAACGAAACAATTTCTGAAACAAAACGAGTCAATGGATAAATTAAATAAGTAATGAGAAAATTTTACCAGGGTTTGTGTGGCTTTTCTTTCAAAAGGCATAGAACAGGAACAATCTTAATTTCTATAAATAATGATGAACGAAACAATTTCTGGAACAAAACGAGCCAATGGATAAATTAAATAAGTAATGAGAAAATTATACCAGGGTTTGTGGGGTTTTCTTTCAAAAGGCATAGAACAGGAACAATCTTAATTTCTATAAATAATGATGAACGAAGCAATTTCTGGAACAAAACGAGTCAATGGATAAATTAAATAAGTAATGAGAAAATTATACCAGGGTTTGTGGGGTTTTCTTTCAAAAGGCATAGAACAGGAACAATCTTAATTTCTATAAATAATGATGAACGAAACAATTTCTGAAACAAAACGAGTCAATGGATAAATTAAATAAGTAATGAGAAAATTTTACCAGGGTTTGTGTGGCTTTTCTTTCAAAAGGCATAGAACAGGAACAATCTTAATTTCTATAAATAATGATGAACGAAACAATTTCTGGAACAAAACGAGCCAATGGATAAATTAAATAAGTAATGAGAAAATTATACCAGGGTTTGTGGGGTTTTCTTTCAAAAGGCATAGAACAGGAACAATCTTAATTTCTATAAATAATGATGAACGAAGCAATTTCTGGAACAAAACGAGTCAATGGATAAATTAAATAAGTAATGAGAAAATTATACCAGGGTTTGTGGGGTTTTCTTTCAAAAGGCATAGAACAGGAACAATCTTAATTTCTATAAATAATGATGAACGAAACAATTTCTGGAACAAAACGAGTCAATGGATAAATTAAATAAGTAATCAGAAAATTATACCAGGGTTTGTACTATTCACTATCACTAGTCGAGTCAGAGTCGAAGTTTATAATTAGGGGCTGCACTTTGCTCACAGGAATTATTATATTTTTTTCCTTGACATATGCGGCCCTAATTACCTCATGCGTGTGTTTTACATAGTGCCCATTGGTCTTTGGACACATTATCCAGCGCCTTCTGCCATGTCCCTAAGACATCTTTTTGCTCAAGGATCAGCTGGTCATAATACCGTTTAGCTTGACTCCATACCATTTCAATCGCATTGAATTGACAATGGTATGGAGGTAAGCGCAAAACCTGGTGACCCGCTTCCATAATGATATTGTCCACAACAAAGGATTTCTTGGTCTTGGGGACTTGTCGGATGATGTTCCACAAGCTTGCTTTTGTGGACGCTGGGTCAAAAGGGATAGCCTTTGCCTCCAATCACCTCTGCATCTCGTCTTTCTTCCAGCTCATAACAGGCCACTTTTCAAGTAGCCTGCTATGATAGGACGCATTATCCAAGATGATAATAGATGGTTCCGCTAATTTGGGAAGAAGAACATTTCGCAACCAATTTTCAAAATTTTCGCTGTTCATCTCCCCATGGTAGTCCCCTGAATTAGTTTTTGATTTGAAAATCAGGCTGGAACCATCGATAAAACCATCTTGTCCTCCCGCATGTAAAATTATGAATCTGAAACACAATGTTGCATTATTCTAGTCAAATAATAACATAAGTCTCTTAGGAATTCCCTTGAAAATAATATTATTAACTTGATTGCATCTTTTTTAGCTTACAAAAATAAAACGTATTTTTTTCTTAAACTTACTCATCTGACAGTGTCATACCTGTTACCATTGTTATATATGTGGCAACCATGCCACATTATAGGGTGGAAAACGCGCATGCGATACCAGGACGAATGTGAAGCTGGCCCGTCGGAGAATGTGACGGCAGTCGCTAACTAGCCTTTTAATGACAAGTTATAATTTATTACGCCCATGTAAATTCGTGCCCCCGAAATAATAAAGTATCATAAAGTAGCTGTGAGTTTTATTAAAAAGAAACCGCAAGACACTTCAGTGGCGACGAGGATAATTAGGAAACGCGATCGGCCGTGAAAATCTCGAAAATTCGAAGTTTAGTATCGCGAAAACGTGGTAAAGAAGATGGCGTCCGCCGTGCCAAAATTCAGCGAATTCCACCACGAATCCGACGACTGGGAAATCTACGAGGAACGCTTGAAACACCATTTTACAGCAAACAGCATCACAGACAATGCAATCCAAGTGGCAATTTTGCTCAGCTCACTGGGATCAGATACCTATAAGCTTGTGCGTGATCTCTGCTACCCTTCATCACCTAAGGACAAAACGTACAGCCAATTGAACACAATCATAAGAAGTCAATTCAAGTCCCAAGTTAGCACGTGGAGGGAAAGAAGGAAATTCTATTGTGTTACTCAAAGCGAGGGAGAATCTATAGCAGAATTTTATGCAAAATTACGAAGTCACGCAGTAAGTTGTAATTTTGGAAACAGTTTATCAAGTATTTTGGCCCATAGGTTCGTGTGTGGAATTTCTAAAAACAAAATAGTGGACAGACTATGTGAGGAAGACCACG